TTTTGTGAGGTCACACTGATCTTTGACCTTTGACCTTTGACCACTAAACACTGCTCAGCTCATGCTTGAGTCCAGGTGAAGGGTTGCACCAAATGTGAAGACGTTCCTTCGAGCTGTTTCTGACATATCGTGACGGACAGCAGACAACCTGAAAACAAAATGGCTGCTCTGACTGTCGCCGGCGCGGAGGAGTAAAAAAAAAAGCAGTAAAAAGCCTCTTTACCCAGCATGCTCAGCAGCATAGAGCAGACAGAGTCAGAGAGCAGCTGGTGAACTCAGTGGAGCGTTCAGCAGCTAAAGAGACCGAAGCTGCAGGACAGAGAATACTGACCTCACCTTCACACACACACACACACACACACACACACACACACACACACACACACACACACACACACACACACACATCAATTCCACCTTAAATAGAGCTTTACAGCGTGTCAGTGCAGTGTGTTTCAACTTTGTGATTTAATGTCAATATCGACTAAAAACAATAAGAACAAATTTCATTAAATGTGGCAAAAACTCACATGAACTTTGACCTCAGGACTAAAATCACTGTCTAAATCTGAATCATGTAATAAATCAGGGTCACAGGCCTCAGCCCCTGTCTTACCAATTAACCAATTAACCAATCAACCTTCATCCCTGCAGCACCGGCTCATGGGCCAGCGGTTGAAAACAGAGCGTGGGACTGTTATCACTGCTGGGTGCTACGGTGAAGACGCTGCTCCACCCTGAGAACCAGGGAAACAGTCGTCCACTTGATCGGCTTGTGGAGCGACAGTCTCACACTGAGCTGTGAGAAGCTGCTTCTACTTTTTACTGACGCCTGAAATTTGATTTCATCGTGTAAATAAAACACTTGTGTGTGTTTGATGTTGATGATCTCCGGCTCATCTCTTCATCGTGTTAATCACCTTTAAAAACAGCGGCTCCGACACTTCCCATGATGCAACATGGTGCATGAAGTCTGTTTCTCTCCTGAAGGTTCAGACTGAAAAGATCTTCAGAGCAGCTTCATGAGGGAAGGAGCTTCACTGCTTCCTCTCTCATCTCCTTTAGGAAACACTGGAGCTTACTTTACCAAAGGAAAGGAGACATGCCGTCCCACAATGCTTTGCTGCAGTATCAAACCACAGCAGAGCCACATAAATGTAGAAACATCAGAGCAGCTGTTTCTGTCTGATGGACTGAAGCTCAGATCCATAAATATAGATTCATCCTCTTTCAGTCAGTCAGGAGTCGTCATGAAGAACGAGCTGATGAATCTATAGTTACATCATCATCATCATCATCATCATCAAGACAACTAAATACTATAGTCTATATATTCATGTTGTTGCATTGTGGAAAGACATAAACATTCATTTTCTCTATTTAACTTAACTTTATTCTGATCTCAGCTCATTATTTCTATGTAATTATTATTTTAATGACTCAACTTTCTCTACTTGTATTTTCCTTTCATGTTTTCTTGTTTCAACATTTCATCCTGTTTGTTTTTATCTATAAGGTGTTATAAATAAAGTTAGTTTAAATTAAATCTTAATGTCAGTTCATGAGTTCTCCTTCACTTCTTTGACCTCGTGACCTTTTCCATGGAGATCGAGGAGAAGAGATCATTCTGACCTTTGGACCCTGTAGTCTCTAAGCTAAAGATCAGATGACCCTGATGACGTCACTGTGACACGGTCAGGGTTACAGTCTTAGACCTGAGCCACAGATGTTACACAGCTGTTAAATATATGTGATATATAATATATAATATATATATGCATGAAAACAAACCCAGCTCTGCTCCACTCTGTCTGTGACTGACTTCATCATCACACACTGACAGACTGTGCTGCTGTAACCAGAGACACCGGGTGAAGCTCACAGGTAAACTCAGCTCACTGTAGTAGAAGAAGAAGACTTGCTCCCTCCCGCAGCTCAACACACACTGAGGGCTGACAGGTGAACGTCTGAGTGGCTCATGAAGCTCTGACTCTGCCGGCCGGAGGTGGAGACCCGCGGCCACACAGCTGAAGGACACCCCGGGGGAGAGACTCCTACCTTGGACAGCTCCAGGAGTTTGTGCAGCCTCTCTGGAGTCTCAGCGACCGAAGGCACAAGTTTACCCCGCTGACAGCAGCTCTGCAGCGGTCACGTCATCCGGCTCCACGGGCTCCGGGGCTCCGGCTCATCTCTTCACACTTTTCCGCATCTTCGTTGTGTTAATTACCGGATCCTCAGTGCTGCGTGCACGGGGGGTTCCGCTGCTGGGGGCGCATGCGCGGCTCAGGTCGGTCTCCGAGGTGAGTGCTGCCTTCAAGTGATGTCGGAAATAAGGTAAACCGAGGAGTCACCATCCAGCAACATAAATATATAGAATAAAATAAATTGAAGCGTTTAAAACATCAGCGGATGTTGGTGTGAATTCAGAGAGGCTTCAACAGTCTGACTGCTGGACATTAGAAAAGTGTTTGTGGAACATCTCGGGGTCTTTGGATCAATGAACCTTCTTCTTGTTTAGTGATTGAAAGTCTTACATACATGATCAACATAAAAGTCATATTTTTCATAAAATATTGGATTAAGTTCTTAAATTTGTTATTTACCAAATGAGACTGCACCCTTTTCTTTCTTTTTTTATTTAATTTAATGTATTTATTTACAGGTGTGTTAGTATGCATATAAACACATTGATATACGTTTAAGTAATTTATTAATTATTGTTTTTGTTGTCATAAAATCTGGTGGCTGTCATGGGTGAAGGGGGGGGGTTAAAACCACTCTGTACAATGTTCAACATCAATAAAGATAAAAAAAGAAACGCTTTTCAGTACGACACAATTCTTTTTCTTTATTTTTTGACACTTACACAAACATTGATGTTTTTAACAGCTGGACTTTAAATTTGAACCATCGACTAAATTAAACAAATTTACAAATTTCAGATGCAGTTTACAGCCTCATCAATAAAACCTTGGTGCTGTTGTTTTTCAATGACAAGTGCAGTTGTTTTGTTTGTTGTTGCTGTTGTTGTTGTTGTTGTTTGTTTTTTACAATGCAATTCAACAGCGATGAAAACTCAAACAGCTTCAGCCCTTTTCTGAAACTATAACCTGATCTGGGGATTTATTACAGGACTGTTGTTTTGACAGAATAATAATAACATATGTAAAGATTAACAGGGGTTTATATGTGACTGTGTATAATGAAGCATACATCATGTATCGCCATTGGATACGATAAATGAAGGGTCACTGAAGCTACGAAAAGTCAAACTTTAGGACTATTTCTTACTGGTTTCATACACACTGCTCCAGATTATTGCTGCTGGTTCAAAAGATTATTTGTGATTTTTTGAAAAGGTGTTTCACTCAGCGATTCCTGTCTTATGCTGTGTCTGTTTAGAAGTGGAGTCTTTCTGCCTCACACATCATCATCTGTTCATCACACACCGGGTTGACTGCTGGAGACACTTTCACATGCAGCAGTCTTCAGACGTCGGAGCTCAGAGCGGGATCATGAAAGCAGCATCACTCCTGTCTGTGTGTGTTCCAGCAGCAGTAAGAAGAGTCCTGACACACACACACACACACACACACACACACTGACTAATTGTGCAGGTGGTGTCCACTTACCAGACCAGCAGTCATGAAGCAGTGGGAGGAGCTTGTCGAGCAGCAGGTTAAATTCACACTGTAACTGTGTGATCACAGCTTCATCCTCACAACAACACACACTGAAGTGTTGACTGCAGTAACTCACACACACACATGACTGTATGATCTACAGGGGTCAATGACCTGATGTAACCCTGCTCTGATCTGCTGAATAAAGTGATAGAACCACATCATGTGAATCACACCAGAGGTCAGCACCTGCCTCACCTGCAAATCACCTGTCATCCTATTAACCACACCCAGGAAGTAATATGACCCCACCCTTCTGTCTGTAAAGCCCTTTCCCTCCAAGCCACTGAGAACAAAGACCCCTGTGAGTTGAATGTTATCACATATCATGATGTTATTTTATTGGGTTAGCATGTTATTGCTGCATGTATGTGTGTTAGGTTCCTGTTTATACCCTGAAGGTGAAGAGACGGACTGTGGATGAATGATGAAGGAACAGGAAGTAATGTCCGCCTAATTTACTTTATTTTGTTATTCACATATTCTGACTTTCATTTCCTGTATTAGACAGAAAGTGTGTTTAATGTATGAATATATAGAAGGTTACTCAGCGATATATACATAATTATATATAGGCCTACATATATATTTCTGAATAATATATGCATCTCTTCCTCTCTCTCTCTCTCCCTCTCTCTCTTTATATAACCTATATTTTTTTCATGTCTCTATTTATACATCTGTCTCTCTCTGTCTCTCTCTCTCTGTCTCTCTCTCTGTCTCTCTCTCTCTCTGTCTCTCTCTCTGTCTCTCTCTCTCTCTCTCTCTGTCTCTCTCTCTCTCTCTCTCCCTCTCTCTCTCTCTGTCTCTCTCTCTCTCTCTCTCTCTCTGTCTCTCTGTCTCTCTCTCTCTCTCTCTGTCTCTCTCTCTCTCTCTCTGTCTCTCTCTCTCTCTCTCTCTCTCTCTCTCTCTCTCTCTCTCTCTCTCTCTCTCTCTCTCTCTCTCTCACCTGGTGTGACAGAGGGCTGAGAGGCGCGTGTCCACAGGAAACATGTTAATCTACAGTCAGATCCTTCATTAAGTGTCAGCGGTCAAAACCATATGCTGTCAACTACCCTCCTCCCCAGTGCGCCTGCGCTCCGTCTCCTCCTCCCCCTCCCTCCCTCCGTCGGTGTGGCTCCGCTCTCTACCTGACAGCTCGTCGGAAGCCGCGCTCAGAACCGAGTCCGGGCTCCTCACCAGCACAGATTCCGGACCGTGCAGATCTGGGTGTCGGGTGCCGGATAAAGTGCAGCTGTCGTCCCCGAGCATCCTGCTGCACGCGGCGGCATGGAGCGCTCCTGATCCCGGCGGGAAGCCTGGAAGAGCTCAGCCTTTCTTCCATCGTCACATCTCGGATCTGTGCGGACGTCTGGAGGCCCGACCATGTCTGCGAGAGAGAAGGGGATCCTGACCAAAGACAGCGTCAGCCTGCTGCCCTGTTTCTACTTCGTAGAGGTGGGTTCACGCTGCATGCTGCTCCTCCTGCTCCTCCATCAATCAATACTACAACACAGAGAGGAGGGAGCTGCCACCACACATCCATAACTATACATCAGCACATATATATATAGGTAACACGGAGATCAGCTGAATGTGACTTGTTCTAATTATAGAATATCATTCTGTTGCGGTGGTTTCCCTCCACTACAGGTGTGTGATGTCACATCATTCCTCCGTCACCTGAACAATGTAGACATCTGCCCTCATCATGTAAAGATGGATGGGTTTATAAGAGACTAAAGACATCCTCCGTCATGTGTGAAGCTTTTGTATAGATGATGTATTTATAGGCCTTTAAATCTATATTATATTTATCATATTACAGCTGCTGTCCGCGAGGAGCTGGTGTCAACAGCTGGAGCAACACATACATTCATATAACACAACACAATACACACTTTGATGTGAACTTTTACAGCAGATCCAACAGAATAACCACACACACACACACACACACACACACACACACTATTCATTTCTAAGGTTAAACATACTCACATGTTATTTACAGTACAGTGCATCGTGAGCTGAAATGGCTGCAGCTTCATCAAAGGATTTCACACACACACACACACACACACACACACACACACACACACTAAGTAGATTAACACTGTTTCAGCCCAATACATAATGCAGACATGAGTCTCTCAGGTTGAGACCGTCAGTGTCAGTGCAGCCATGATGGACGTGTCTTCCTCTCAGGATTTCATTTTATTGTGAAGAATCCTGATGACTGTAAGACAATCGGAGCTGACTGCTGATTTGAAACATTTAAGCACAGACTGCGTGCAGCTTGTGGTGAGTGTCACTCGTTCCCCTGCTGCGCTCTTTATCCACGCTCTAATTCACCACTGGCCCGTGGCTCTCCAATCAAACTGGCATCTCGTATTATAGATCTGCCTCTAATACTGTGTGATGGATGCTGTTGGGATGACTGCACCGCTCCCATGAATCCCTCTCCCTGCAGGGACTCGGACGGGGGATTCCCTGAGTGATGTTTTGTTTTTGGAATATTTCATTTACATTTCAATGCACCATCACCTTCATTAATACTGCCAGACTTCAGCTTTTCAAACTTCTGAAGCTATTCTTATTTTTACAAACAGAAGCAGCATTAAAGTAGGTCAGCGCTGAGAGTTAATTCTTCTCAGTGAACTCCAGCACTTGTGTATTTAATTAGACTCGCTCAGGCTCATTCCCTCAGTGTGTGTGTGTGTGTGTGTGTGTGTGTGTGTGTGTGTGTGTGTGTGTGTGTGTGTGTGTGTGTGTGTGTGTGTGTGTGTGTGGCTGGTTTCCAGAAATCGGAGGTGGTTGCCCATCCTGCTCTCCTGTCAGCCGTGACCGCCGTGTCATGCCATGAGATCGGAGCGGGCCAATCATGATGTCTCCTCCTCAGAGAGCTCCAGCTCTGTGGCTCCTCCTGCCCAATGAATTCTTAATGCTGATATGAGTTAGACGCAGATCTCACACCAGAAACTAAATGTAATTTTGCTGTGCCATGATGAGTTATCTTTACTCGCTCAGTCACTGCTAATTGGTTCGTTTCTAGCATTAGTTTTGGGCTGATCGCGATATTTGGGCGGAACTGTATGGAGATGTTACATTTAGGATTTAGTTTATCACCGTTACAGTAGGATTACAGAGATTTTTTTAGGGCTTCCCTTTTAAAGTTAAAGTCATGTTTTAAATTCTTTAATATTTAGTTCAACATGTTTTCAGTTAGCACAGTTAGCATCTTTCATTTGTTTCTGTTGTTTGTTAGCTTGTAACTGGCAGTGACTGACACAGTGTTAGTGGTTGTGCTAATGCTAACTCTCTCTCTCTGTACTGACAAGGTTTCAGGTGTATTTAGCCCCGCCCCCCGTCCCCACAGGTTGAAAGGATTGGCTCCTCAGGTCTGTGAGGTATGAAACCCTGAATCTGTGTTTATGAGACTGTGATTGTTTCACTGCAGGTCAAGGAGGAAACACTCAGTCATGGAGATGATGGTTATTTCATCATCATGAGTCTGTGTTATATAAAAACATCATGTGGACGTTAACCAGGTGAAACTCTGTGAGGAGTTCAGCGTGTGGAGACTGTGTCTCAGCAGGGAGTCTGGACACTGACAGAAAGGCCATTACAAACCGGAAGCATCAGTGTAGGTGTTAACCAGGCAGGGAGTGACTAATTGAGTTGCATTATGGGAATTGTAGGATCCAGCTGTCTTGGAGTTGGTCCCACACAAGGTCAGGATATCTTGACCTTTGCTGAATCAAGTTTGACTTTGTCTCTTGTGAGCTCTCGGTGGTTGAGTGTCTCTGCTGGATAGAAATCCTGACACATTAAAACCTCAGGGGTCAAAGGTCAACTATGAAACAATAGAAAACTTCCTGTAAATATTTCTTCAGTAGCTGCTCATCAACAGAAGAGCAAAACTGAAGGTTTATGGATATCAGTTAGCCGTTAGCATTCCCTCCAGGTGACAGGTGAAGTGTCAGTGTCTCTGCTTGATGTGTGAACAGGTGTTTATGTCAGATGTGCTTCAGGAGGTAAAGCGGGTCGTCCACCAACCAGAAGGTCAGTGGTTCGATCCTCAGCTGCTCCAGTTTCCATGTCGAAGTGTCCTCGGGAAAAACACTGTGTGTGTGTGTGTGTGTGTGTGTGTGTGTGTGTGTGAGAATGTGGCTTGTAGTATAAAGCAAAACAAACCGCTATATAAGTGCATTACCACGTTGTGTTTACAGGTTGTTCTGTGGCCGTATTATTATTAGTATTATTAGTATTCTTAGTATTAATAGTGGTAGCAGTGGTATTATCCAAGCATCCCTGATAACTTGCTCCATTTTAAATGACTCACCCTCTGAACAGTGAATCAGTTTCTTCCCTCTGAAGCTTCACATTGTCCCTAAAGTGAAAATGAAACTTTATAAAGAGCTCTGTTCCAGCTGCGTCACTCACACTGTATAGGAACAGTGTTTAATTTATTAATTTCATTATGTGTATTTACCCCGTGCACATGGTGCTGTCTGTGCTGTCCGTTAAATTTGTAAGACTGATGACTCTTCTTACTGTCAAACAACTGACCTTTTATTCCTCCCTTCAGGAGGTGAAGTGATATTATTTAGCTGCTTTGTCTTGATTTTCTATCTTAGAACAACAGTCTGTATAAACACTGACACAGGTTTTAAATGGAGGGGCACAAAAGCCTCAGATCTTGTTCTGTGCTAACATGTATTTTCATCTAAAGTTAATGAGACTTCAGCTGCTTGAGTTAATCAAATAAAGTAAGTGTCTTCAACATAATGGTCTTTGTAGTTTGTTAAAGTAAGAGGTTCAGAAAAAGTGAGCCATCCTGAGCATCGGGTCAGGGTGAAACATCATCCGGGTTTATTCTCAAATAATTGTATTTGAAACATGAAGGGAAAGACGTGAGCTGCTGCTTCTGAGAGGAAACAAACAGATTAAAGATTAAACTGAGACAATAACTCAAAGTCTCATATGTTCTTAAAGGAATAAGGATGAATAAAGTTTTCAGACACTAACATGAACAAGAACTAAAGAGTAATGTGAATGTCTCTCAGCTGAACTGCCGCCACAGAAGGTAGTTTTACACATTAGTAAGAACAGTGTCTTTGTCATATCTCTCCTTTAACGTGATCTGTCTGAGTTAATGTAATAATCAGGTAAATGCCGTCAGCAGTGATCAGTTCTGTGCAGGTTTCCACTGAGGGACGAGCAGCTGCAGATCTGATCTGTGTTCCTGCTCCACTTCACTGCGACGAGCAGCACTGTCAAGCTTCAGGCTGCTTTTCCTCCAAAGTGGAACAAATGGAAGCATGAGGAGGGCCGAACAACTGTTATCTAAAACTGGAGAGGAACAAAAGATTAAATCACATGTATAATTGTGTGGGGAGGGACATGGCCAGTAGCCTAGATATAGGATAAAGACTATCTGTGTATCTGCAGCACACTGGACTGTTTACTGTTGATGGCTTTATTCCTTTTCTGTCTGATACACAATCTACATCAGATTATTCTATATCAGATTGTTCTATATCAGCTTGTTCTATAACACATTATTCTATAACAGATTATTCTATATCAGCTTGTTCTATAACATATTATTCTATAACATAATTCTATAACACATTATTCTACTTCAGATTATTCTATAACAGATTGTTCTATATCACATTATTCTATATAAGATTATTCTATATCAGATTGTTCTATATCAGCTTGTTCTATAACACATTATTCTATATAAGATTATTCTATATAAGATTATTCTATATCAGCTTGTTCTATAACATTATTCTATAACAGATAATTCTATAACACATTATTCTACTTCAGATTATTCTATATCAGATTGTTCTATAGTAGATTATTCTATATCAGATTGTTCTATATCACATTATTCTATATAAGATTATTCTATATCAGATTGTTCTATAACATATTCTATAACAGATAATTCTATAACACATTATTCTATATCAGCTTGTTCTATAGTATATTATTCTATATCAGCTTGTTCTATAACATATTATTCTATATCATATTATTCTATATCAGATTATTATATATCAGATGATTTTATAACACATTATTCTATAACAGATTATTCTATATCAGCTTGTTCTATATCAGATTATTCTACATCAGATTGTTCTATATCAGATTATTCTACATCATATTCTATATCATTATTCTATAACAGATTATTCTATATCAGCTTGTTCTATATCAGATTATTCTACATCAGATTGTTCTATATCAGATTATTCTACATCATATTCTATATCATATTATTCTTTAACATATTATTCTATATCAGATTATTCTTTAACAGATTATTCTATAACAGATTATTCTATAACACATTATTCTATATCATATTATTCTATATCAGATTATTCTATAACACATTATTCTATAACAGATTATTATATATCATATTCTATATC